TGCTGTCCTGGAGAGGGACACCAAAGAACCCACACTTTGGCAGTCTGAGGAGGCACAGCATGTGCTTGCTATCCAGTGAGGGTGTGCTGCCCCTTGCTCAGCCAGCAATCCTGTAGGGACTTTTAAAGGAGTTGAAAAATTTGTGGGAGAATCACATTTTCAAGTCAACCTACAGGCTATTGTGCATAGGCAATATGTCTTTGGGACTTGTGTCACAAAATGAATAGGAAAATAGTTCAATCTTTCACCAATTTTTATGGTCTTTTCCATAGCAGCCTTATTCCCTACATGAAGGGAGCCTTACTGTAATAACTGTGTATGTACAAATAACCAAAAAAAACATTTCCAGATGCTGTTTCTTAACAACTCACATTCATTAATACATATAAACACTGAAAGAAGTGGCACATTCTGGTTACTGAAGAATATATGTGTCTTGGTATTTAAATATCTTTGTGTAATGAATCTGAATAAAGCAGCATGGGGAGAAAGAAGAGACGAAAAATGCTGAGTGCTTAAACAGACTTTTGTGTCTCCTGGTCCTACATTGCTGCATGTCGGTGTGTAATTTTATTTATTGGGAATATTATTTGTCTAATATTTTGTTGTCATTATTAAAATGATAGAAAATACTTCCTCTAAGAATTCCGGGTACCTCTTATCTGCATGAAGTATATATTCATTATATAAGTATTATGTTGCTTATTGTTGTAGACTGTCAATACAATACTTTCAGTTCCTCCTACATTCCCAACTATGAAAAGAATACTGATGACCAATCCCCAAATATAAAACACTCTTCACCAATTCAGTAATGGAACAAAGCATTGTCCTTCCCTGAAAAGCATTCCAATGCATCCTACTCCCTCTAACTGCTTGCAGCAATAGTCTGTGCATGAGTATATATGTACATTTAAAAACTGTCCTTGCAAGTGTACTCCTTTCATGATCTTTGCAGGCACAACCAGCACAAATACCAAGTAGTGCATGTTCTGACAGCACATTTGAGTTCTGGACATGGAGGTCTGTTATCCACTGTCTCAGAATGTAAAAATTGCCTGGGGAAGACTGACAAAGTGGCAGCACTGTAAAATCCTTCAGATGAAAACGACATATCGATTTTGCTGCACAAGTCTGAATGCATTGCACAACACATGCATGATGGAGACATGAAATCCTGCTCCTTTGAGGAAGCAACACTGAGTTTGGTGATGCCAACAGGGCAAACAATTGGATCCCACTGAACTGCAGGTAGTGGCAGCACAATACTTTTCCGAGGACAAACATGGGTCTTGTAGGTCATACAGTGGTGGAATAAGGAAATCTGCAAATGAGGGTTGCAGGCCTCCAATATAATTTATGGGGATTGAAGCAGGGAGATTGGTAGAAGTCCATGCAGAGTTGGATCTCCATCTCTTCAAAATTACAGCATGAGGCCTTGAGGGAGGGATTTGTCTCACATGGTTTTCTCTATTTAAAAAAATTGATATTTAGCTCAACTGAGTCAGCAGAATATTTGTGGTTGTTGACAGAGACAAAATTTGCAATTGATGCCAATCTGAAATGGGCTTATACTGAAAGTAGTTTGGGACAGCAATTCTACGTTTGCTGCTGGAAGAGCCTACACTTTGTTTTCAGGCAACTACTTTGAAGTGAGATAAACTCCCTCTGAAGAGAACTCAGATCAGAACTGATAGGAGCAGATACCTTAAATCTTCTGGAAATATTATCTAATATCTGGGGTCATCTCAGATGTCTAATCGTCTTTGAAAACTGAGCTCTGAGCTCCTGTGCTTTCCACTTTTATTTGTTTCTTCAAAATGACTGGTTTTATGGGTGGGATTAAGTCACAGAAGTTGAGAGAGGCTGAAGATTTATGAACAGCTATGAAAAAGTTATGGGCCATAATGTTCTTGAGGTGGGGGGAGGCTACATTCGATGTTTCTACTTTTGTGCCTGTGATCTTGTGTAAGTTCATTCAGAAGGCCACAAATGAGAGTGTCAGTTTATAAGTCACCAGCCTGTGCAGTCAATTAATTGCTGATTAACTTCCACTGGCTGCCAAACAGGGTCTGGAAGTTGAAGATATAAAAATTTAAAGTCGCTTTAAATTTTTTGAAAAATTTTGCTTATTTTCCTGTATTAGGAATTTATATTGTGGTAGCAAAATTCTGAGCACTCAGAAATTCCACTGTTAGAGGTATTATTGATAATTGTTGAGTGTGTAAAGTATGCTTGGCACCCAACAAAAATTAATACAGATATTTTTACCTGTAGATGACACAAATATAAGAAACCTAAGCTGTACCAGTAAAAAAAATCTAAAGCAACATTTTCAGTAAGGTCTGTGAGTAGGATACCTACTGTCTCCTGGAGGATTTCATGCAGGAGCTACTTAGCAAGGCCTTGCACATGGCAGGTCCTTAGTGTAAATAACTGGAATGTGTAAATCACTTTCTTGCCTATGGAAAAAGAGAGACAACAGAACAGTACAATGACCAAAGGGCCAATAGCCTTCATTTTAAAGGAAGGTGTTGACTAAATTAAAAAAGATTGCTGTGTGTAGTCTGTCTGTTTAAGGGAAGTTTAGTGCCAGATTATCAGTAATGTTTCATCCTGCAGTTACAGCAAGGAAAAGATGCTGGTGACACACATGTTTGGTGAAAGAAACCCAAGACTGACTTAAGAGGCAAAACAAGGTAAACACTGAATATGAGGGAAAAAATGTGCAGCAAAACTCACACCCCAAGAATCTCAGTCCTAAGTGGGTCATTTGTTTATCCCACCAGTCAAACCTGACTCTACAGCAAAGCAAGCCAAAGAAAGTCTCCTTTATTGTTTCCATGATGCTTACTCAACTACAGGCCATCCCCCTTTTGGATTATTCTATTTTTAAGGCATAATTTCCATCTGTTCTTTGATCTTATACCACATAAGACATTTAGCTGATAACATCATCCATCAAAAAGTGAATTTCCTTTAGAGTTCAAACACAGTCGGCACAGGACCCCGTCCATCTGCTGGCCAGTGCCTCTGAACAGATTCAGGTTGTGAACAGCCAGCTATGTTGCCTATTTTTTAATTAACCAGCTTAGGTCTGTGCTTCCTGTAACACTGCAGGATGACCAGGGGCAACTCCACAGGGAAGGGAAATGCCCTCCCCTGTGGAAGTAGAGAAGAGGGTTTGATGCATCCAGAGCTGTGATGTGCTTGTGGTAAATGGGGTTGTCCAGTGGATGGTTTCTGCCTTCAGTCCCTCAGGAAATTATACTTTTTTTGCATAAACCACAATATTTTTTATAAAAGGTTTGAAAGATTTTTTTTTTTTTTTAAATTGGAATTCTTCAGAGAAAGGTGTGTAAAGCAGAAAGACAATGCTTTCTTCTGTGAGCAAAATTCTGAGTTTGTTTGAGAGAAACTTCAGAATTTCAGGGCAGGTTGTCTGAAGAAGCGGAATTTTGTATAGAAAATGCTTGTCTGCTTACCCAACTGGAGAGCCAGGGAATGTCAGATGATTTAGGTGACCAATTGTAGTGAAACAGTACATCTTGAAATCAGAATATCCGAGATCAATCATAGTTAAAAAAAAAATCTAAGAAAAACTTGTCAGGAAAAAAAAAGGAGATTAATGTTAGTAAGCCACGAAAAAGGTAGATTTTCTGTGGATATTTTCCCAGTGCAAACAGTTATCAAATTCTTTAAATCATTACTGTCAGATTCTTCAATTAGCTCTGTTACCTTGCTTCTCAGTGGTTTGCTTTATCCTGCCCACAGTGCATTTGTCCAGGAAGGAATTTGATTCAGGATTTATATTCCACTGGCTTGCATATACCACAGTGTAAGTGTCTCCAGATCCAAAACAATAACAACAATTAAAAAAGCGCCTACATTTCCTTCTATTTCCTGGCTTGCCAATAATAAGTCCCCGCAGAGGGGAGCTTGGCTGGTGGTGTTTTGTGATTTCTCAGATAACAAGAGCTTCACATTTCTGTGGAATTCCCATTTGCCAGTGAGCTGCTGCTGCTGCTGCCCTGATTGATATATGACTGCAATGGCACTTTTCCATTTGACATTCCCTCTCTCTCCCTCTCTCTCCCCCTCTCTCTCTTAAACAACAGCCCTAACTTTTGTGTGTTGCAAATATAAAAGGCAAGCCATGTGACAGAGGGACAGAAGAACAAAAGCATTTGGAAGTAACAGGACCTCTTTTTAGCTCTCTGAAGAGTTCAAGGGGAGGAAGGAGTGGTACATTTACCAAAGGTAAGCACACAAATTAGAGATTCCTACAGATTTTGAGTATTATATGGACTTAAACTGGGTGCTTACTGTCTTTCTCTGACATACATGTTGCCCTTGTACCATTCTTTTAACTCTAGTGTGTCTAAATGGAATCGACACAGCTCTAGTACCTGTGTCTCCTTTTCCTTCTCCCTTTATCTCCTGTCCTAAGGATGCCTGTAAGCAGTCAAATAGGTAGCCCAGGGTGCTTCTGAGCAACTTGGTTAAACATCAATTCTTGTGAGCATGCCGGGCTCCTGCCTGCAGCTCTCTGTTGCTCCTGGTTGTATGTCTTTGGAGTGAATGGACAGGCTGGACTCTGCCCTGAATTCATGGAGAGAGCGCTGGTATCGCCAGCACCCTCTTTGTCACACTGCAACAGGGCTCTATGAGCACAGGCAAGCCAGTTAGTTTAAAACCGGACTGTTTACTTTTATCACTCCTTACTCATGCTGTGCTCTTGCCAGTCATCTGCTGGAGTGCTTGGAATAATTTGAAACAACAGGCAACATTTATTTCTAGCTTTGTGTGTCACGCTTCACGGGAGCACTCTTAATTTGCGCATTATTATTTACCCAAACTTCTGCGAGGCTTTCCCTATGGGGTGGGCTGGTTGTGCATTAGGACAGATTTAACATACACTCTTGATTGGCTGAAACCTGTGAGGGAAGCCACGGTGTTTGCCTTTGCTGTAATGCCGAGGGGTATATTTAGTAGGTAGCCGACCCCGTCAGCGTGACACGTAATGCGGAGTGGCTGTGCAGCCGGGAGCTGACAGGGAGGATGCTGCAGGACCCCAGACCGCCAGCTGAAGGAGAGAGGGAGGCTCTCCTCCGTTCCCGGCAGATCATTTCCCTGTGTGTCACCGCCAGAGGCACGAGTATAGCTGTTCTCTGTTTCTTTGGGACAAAAGAAGAGTTTCACTGTTATGAGCCCAGTGACAAAGTGTCAGTGTAGTGGCACTGCGAGGCTCGGGAACCGACACTGCCCCGGGGGATCCTGGCTGAGGAAGAGAGCCCCGTCTCCCTGTTGGGATTCAGGTGAGTGAATTCATCCTATAAAGGTTCAAATGAATGGGTCCAGTGGCAAATAACAGAGTAACAAAGATAAACCATGTGCAGACCAATCTCAGTCCTGGGTTAGACAACTGCTGCAGTGTGTGCTGGGGGGGCAATTTTCCTGTGGCAAATCTGAATTTACAAGATGGTGTATGTGTGGACTGACTCTCGGGGGACTGTCAGGCAGATTTCTTATCCTACCTCTCAAGTTCATTTAAAGGGGTCTCATAACCCCCCCATAACACATCTCATTTGTTTCTGCTTGAGACAGATGGCATGGCAAGTAACCTTTTAAGGTTTCTGCAGCTCTTGAAAGATGAAAAAAATGTTTCCTATATGATAAATGTTACTTACAGTTTCTAAAGCTTTGCAACTGTCCCAGTGGCTGAGAGGTAGGAACACAGCATATTGAAAAAGGACAGGCAAATAACTATTTAAAACCAGTAGTGGGGACAATTCACTTGAAAGCATATGATTATTTGAAACCAGCAATGGGGACAAATTAACTTCAAATCAGCTCCTTATTGCAAAGTTACTTTCTAATAGAAGTAACCCAACTGTCTAGTTTGGTCAATAAACGTGGATATAATAATCACAGTGTTGTTATTTGTCCCTCCTCAAAAGAATATAAGAATATCTACATTTCAGGACCTCTTTTTTTGTTTTCCCCTTTCTTTTAAGTTACTAATGATGCTCAATGCTCATTTGTGCGTAGGCTGTGTGATCTTACTCATATCTGTGAGTAGTTATACACATGAATAATTCCCTGGACCTAAATAGAACTATTTGATGAGTAATTACTTACCAGCTTGAATCGGGGGTTCCCAATGTGACTTATACATCCATGGACATGCTCTTGCTGGAATAATGAAATCTTACTTACGAAACTGGTACCATAAAACAACGCTTTAAAGATTTTCCAGTTAAAAGCAAATCTGTGAGGAGTAGATGTTTCAAAGATGCATTTACAAAGTAAAATGCGATTTGATTTAGGGGCAGGGTATAATCAGGAGCTGCTGCTGATTAGTTACAAGCTCATTTCTCTACCTGAAGGTGTCCCACATAGGTTTCCTGGGTTTGTGCAGCACCTGGTTTTGATCAGATGCCTGTATGCTGCTGACTGCCCCTTGCAGAGCAGGATACTTGCTATGGGTAGTCTTGTGTACAATTTGCAGTAGCAGTGCTCCAGGTAGCTGCTTATGCATGGCTGATTTCCACAAAAGCTACCTGTCCCACTGGAACAACCCCTCACCTGCCGTTGAGGCTTGTGATAGCATCTGTATGTTCCTGCCTGCTTGTGTTGCCAGGACTGCAGTCTCTTTTGCCCAGGTGGGAGCTCACATTGATGCCTGCCTTGACTCATTTGACAGGCAGTCCTCCTGGACTTGGCTTCATTCCCCACTTCCCCTGAGGCTGATTTTGTTCCCTTCCTGGCTTGTCTGCTCTCAGATGCACTAGGAAGTGCTCAAGGTTGTTCTTGGACCTTGAAAGGAGTTGACTATCTACGGTGCAAAGCTTGCATGAAGCCACTGAGACATTAGTTTTTGCAACAAATCTAGTGGATTACTTGTTTAACTGGAAATAGAAAAAAAAATATCTCTCCCCACACCCAAATATCACTATTGTAATTACAATTATAAATATTTGATAGTTGTATTATCAGTATTACAAATTCCCCTCTCTCTAATGTCCTCCTGATTATGAGGAGAGTCTTGAGTTTTAAAAAAGTTTTGCTACATGAGGCTGTGCCACAGACACATGTTATTTGAGCAATCCACCTCTTGAGCGTGGCTGGAAGTGGCCACATCAAAGGAAGACATAGAGACCCCGTGGCAGGCAGCTACAGGGTAACTCGCTGTGGCAAAGGATTTTTCCCTAACCCCATCAACTGAACCTTCAGCATCCTAAGAGTTTATAGCCCTTCCAAAAACTCTTTAAAAGTAAAACCCCTGTGACTGTAACCCTCCCATGCATAACAGCTCCTTTTGCTGAGCCCAGCTCAACTTTTGCCCTCTGTGATATCTTGTTCCATCGGATCGTTGTCGGTTGTGTAAACATGTGTTTCTTTTCATCAGTGTTAAGTGTTCTGCCTCTCAGCTCCCCTATCCTTCTCCATGTCCTGGTATCTCGGGATGGGGTGAATACCCATGCCCAGATCACCTCTTTTTTCTGCTGCCTGACTTTCCACTTGACAGTCCTTTTGCTGAAACTCATCTCAGTGTCAGGAGAAAGGTTTAGCTGGGTCAGGTTAGTGTGGGTGTCTGAGCCAAGAGCAGTTTTTCTGTATTCTGTACATGTATATGAAGAGATGCTGCAGGCTCCTCTGACTATGATCAGCTGTTATTTCCTTTTTATCTGTGTCAGTGTGGAACATATTAAAATTTCTCAGTAGTGGTATGTAAGGAATCCCTCTGATGCCCCACCTCTAACTTAGCAGAACAATAAAAGCAAGGTTGTAGTAAGCCTTTGAGCAGCTGCCTGTCTATATATTCCCTCTTTTTTCACATCATCTAATTCAGACTATTATCCGAGTAGCAGTGGCACTACCACTTCCAGACACCATCAGTCCTTGTCCTGTTTGTTGGAATTCCGTTGTGTGGCATGGAGATCTTTTCTACCACAGGCAAGCGTAGCCTCTCTTCTGGTGTCAGGGCAGGGGGCTGCTGGTGCCATGGAGACACTGGTCCTAGGAATTCCTCCTCATCGCTATTTTTCAGCTTCCCTTTGTTAGTTTTCTTTTTGCATCAGTCATTGTTACGGCTCACACTTGTCACATTTCCGTGCTCATTATGACTGAGCTGCAGACTGTGTGAGCCCAGCAGCGTGGAGGCAGCACAGGTTATGTTGCCCTTTAAGACGCGAGTTGAGGATCTGAGTTAATGCCTCAGCTCTGGTTTGGCAAAGGTTAAGCATACCACGGCAGTGACAATCACATTACTGTCATAGCAGCACGGCTCAAAGGGAGTGGGACCTAGGGGAACACTGCTCCCCTTGTTAGAAGACATAAAATTGTTACCATGAGCCAAATATTTACGTTCCCTAATTATTAGAAGTATATGGATGGTGGTCTGAATTTTGCCTGTGTATAAAAGAAGAAAGGATTTTGCCCCAAACATCAGAAAAGAGGGAACATCCCCTTCCATCATGTGCTGTCTCCAGAATGCATAGCACTCTGCTGGTCCCAGTGGCAGGGATGTCTTTGCTTAATATTAAGGAATAAGAAACTCATTCCTACTTCTGTATCTATTGATAATTACAGCCTTTGAGTTCTCTGTGAGATATGCAAAAACCAGGGAACAAAACCCACCCACCTGCTTTCAACACACTCCAACAGGTAGAGGACACATGCCTGAATGCCCTAGACCTCTCTCAGCAACTTGTAATTTGGCCAAGAGTCATTTTGCCTCATGTTGGGTCATAAGACTAAAGTAGAGGTAATTACTGAAGCAAATCCTATAGCTAATGCCTGGCTGGGAACATTTGCACTGCAGCCAGCAGCCACCCTTGCTGGTTTGCCTCCCGGGAGGGATGGGCACCCTTACTTAGACACCTCGGCACTGTGCCTGGTGCTTCACCAAGGAGTGATGGCATCCAGAACTCTCTGGATGACCAAGTGGAAAACTGTATTCCTCTCCTGTCCCAGACTCAAGACCATGACTACTCTGATATTCAGCAAGACACAAGAAGAAAGAAAGAACCCAAGGCTGGCATCACCTCACCATTAAATGGCTCTACTGGCTCATTAGAGAGATATCCCATGCATGCCCCTAATCAATCTATTTAAAGTTTCCTGGAAGCAGGAAAAGGAAAGAATAAAAATACAAGCACTCTTTTGTCCCCCAGTAGTTATTCTTTGTGAGTGCATTAAATCCTTTTCTCTGTGTTGGCCTGTGCCTGTCTGCTGGCCAGGTGCCAGCTCGCAGTACCCACTAGGGTTTGTTATTTCAACCGCCTAGCAGGAAGGCACGGTTAGCTCCCCCTCTCCCACCTACCTGAAGGGCTGGAAATACTCTTGGAAACTTCAAAAGGAGAGGGAAGCTCAACCCAGCTCAAGTGCTGTTCAGATGAATTTGTTCCATCTCATGCACCAGGTCCCCACGATGTGAACACTTATGGGGGCCTTACATGAGCTGCCCCATCAAAGCCCAAGGAACCAGTCCCATGAGTGCCTATCCCATGCATTCCGATGCTCCCAGCAATAACTATGTTGTTTCTTATGCTTCAAATGCCATGATCTTCCTATTTTTCTTTTTTTTTCAATCTACTTACAGTCACAGGTACTCATCTCCCAAAATATTAAAATACTTAAGGAAGCTTCACAGCAGAAAATGATTTGCAGGAGTTTCTCTCATCTACCAGATCAGTGTGTTTGACATTCTGACTGTCCCTTTTATCTTCTTGGGCTTTGCAGGACAATGTCACAAAGTCACAGAGTATTCTGAGTTGGAAGGGACTCACAAAGATCATTGAGTCCAACTCTTAAGTGAATGGCCTCTATGGGGATCAAATCCATGACTTTGGCATTATTAGCACCATGTATTGTCAGCAGTCAGATGGTAGGACAGCACAACCTCAGTAGAACCAGAAGATGGGCTTTCCCCCTGTGGACATCCAGAAGAAGACATTTAAGTCCTTTTTTTTTTGAACCTGTTTTCCTTCCTGCTCCCTTTTCCCTTCCCCTCTCCTCTTGCCCACCAGCTGCTGCCAGCTCTGTCCAGGAGTGCATGTTGTTGGTGTTCTCCCCTTGAAGGCACACACTGCCCTGTAACCTGCTGTGTAAGGGATGGATGGAGCTCCTGTACAATGGGTGAAGATATTCCCCTTGGTGTCAAAGGGGACAAGCTTCAGCACAGCTGGATGTCAGTTGAGCAAACCCTCTTCGGCTTAACAAGGCCTTGGGTGAACGTTCACTTATTTAGACCTGTAAGGATCTCACTCAAAATATTTTGTTTGGTATTTGCCCTGCCTCAGCATTGGAAGAA